CAGGTTGCAAAAACACAGCATGATTAAGTTCTGTGGACGGTGGCATAAACTCAGCTGCTAATCAGATGGTGTAGTCAACGTTCCTTTTAAAAATATATTTTTTTTATTGATTTCAGAGAGGAAGGGAGAGACAGATAGAAACATCAATGATGAGAGAGAATCATGGATCGGCTGCCTCCTGCACGCCCTCTACTGGGGATGGAGCCCACAGCCCGGGCCTGTGCCCTGACCGGAAACCGAACTGATGACCTCCTGGTGCAAGGGGCGATGTTCAACCACTGAGCCACACCGGCCAGGGCTGTTGTCAAGATTCTTAATTAACCAAGTAAGTGGAAATGCTGTACCTGCTCTCTTCAATACGAACACTGACATGTGGAGAGAATGGCGGAGCCGGACACATTGCTATTCCGCTCGGTGCTGACGGGATGCGGGGCTCCCGGGCAGACAGACGGCGCAGAGAGGTGGGCACGTGCTGGCGGACAGAGACCTGCTTCCACGCCTGTTTCTGCTGCGGGAGGCCAGCCCGGACGGCCCTGTCTGCCGTTACCTCCACGCCGAATCCTCCCCGCAGCCTTCTGGCTTGTTTGTATTTTTCATTTTTCCAAGCCCCAGAACTGGGTACAAGGAAACACAGCGGAACGACTAATATTTAAATGGGCTCAGACATGCAACAGGCCCTCCGTGGCTGCTGAAACACTGCAGCACAAAACGGCTCTGACGTAACTAATCAGGCCGCCTCCGGGGGGCGTCTAGATCCAAGGTGAGTGACAGCCCGGGCACCCGCAGCCGCAGGGAAACGGCTGTGACCCCCACATGGCCCGTTCGGAATGCTGCTCAGAGTGGCTACATACTGACTGTCAGTCACAGGCACCTACAAGGAATCCTGTGTGATGTCTGCACCGCAGGAGGTGCCTCCTGTGGGTGGAGCTTTTTTCAAATTTAGGTGTAAACTGTTCACTTAGAACATTTTTTAAAAAGGTGTGTGAAGAGCCCGGCCAGCGTGGCTCCGTGGCTGAGCGTCGACCTAGGAACCAGGAGGTCAGGATTCAATTCCCGGTCAGGGCACAGGCCTGGGTTGTGGGCTCCATCCTCAGTGTGGGGCGTGCAGGAGGCAGCTGATCAATGACTCTCTCTCACCATGGGTGTTTCTCTCTCTCCCTCTCCCTTCCTCTCTCTCAAATTAAAAACAAAAAGTATAATAAAGAATGTTGGCCCGGCCGGCGTGGCTCAGTGGCTGAACATCGACCTATGAACCAGGTCATGGTTAGTTCGATTCCCGGCAGGACACAGGCCCAGGTTGTGGGCTCCATCCCAAGGGTGGGGCGTCCAGGAGGCAGCCGATCCGTGATTCTCTCTCATCGTGGATGTTTCTGTCTCTCTCGCCCTCTCCCTTCCTCTGTGAAATCAATAAAAATGTATTTTAAAAAGTGTGTGTGAAGAAGGGGAAATCCCTTTCCACTGGCTGTGGGCTGTCAGGTCACAGCCGGTGAGGAGGCTATGCCGACGGCTGCCCAGGGCAGGATTCCCCGGGTTGGACGCTGGAGAAAAACAGTCCGTGAAAACCAGCCGCCAGCCTGCATGTCCCTGCAGACAGAGCCGTGGGAACACGGTGTCCCGTGAGGAAGGCCCGATGGGAACGTGGTGACTCTGCGGCCTCTCTCTGCGTGTCCCCATGTTTCCTCTACAAAAGCGCGGGCTGACGCGAGGACACAAGACCTGGCCCAGGGGTCTACAGCACGAGCATGGAACGAAGCCCCGAGCAGGGCAGACAGTCCGTCACAGGCTCACTCCGCTGGCCTCAGAGGCCCCGACCCCCGTGAGCCTGGACTGGGCATCGGATACGGGGTTTCCGGACGAAGCTGGCCGGGGCGGCACCAGCCAGGCAGGACCCCGCAGCCAGGACCTGCTGGAAAGAGGTTAAGGAATAAACTGGAGAGCCACCCATCTGCGGCAAGATGGGAGGTGAAGGGCGAGGCAGGGGCAGTTAAAAAGGAAGGAGAGGAGTTAGAAGCAGAAGATAAGAAAGGAAATGGGCGGCACTCGGACGCCGGGTGTCGTGTCCCCTGGGCCTCGGTAGGAAGGGCCTGCGAGGCTCATTGCGTTTGCCGGAGGCGATCCAGAGCGCAGGGGACAGCCACGGCCTGGGAAGGAGGAGCAGAGTTAGCAACGGAGAGGAATGAGGCAGGAAAAGTATCAGAAACGCAGGGCAGGGCGGGTGCACAGGCGAAGGCAAGGAAGAAGCAATGCACTCTGGCTGGTGTGGCTCAGTGGAGAGAGCATCTGCCCGTGGAAGGCTGGGTCCCAGGTTCCATTCCGGTCAAAGGCCTGGACCTCGGTTGCAGGCTCCATCCCTGACCCCGAGGCGCGTGCAGGAGGCAACCAGTGGGTGTGTCTCTCTCACATCGATGTTTCTCTCTCTGTGTGTCTCCCTCTCCCTTCCACGCTCTCTAAAAATCAATGGAAAAGTGTCCTCGGGTGAGGATGAACAACGACCAAAGAGAATGTGCACTGTGACCGTGTGAAATGTAAACAATCATCTGAACCCGGACCCGCCGAGGGCGGAAGCCGATGCTAATAACAGAGAGACAACAGGCCTCAGGGAGACCGTCCCAGACAGGGACATGACGTCACCTGAGAAACAAGGCCTTGAACGTGTAACTGAGCTCTGGAGTGCTGAGCTCAGTCTGGCCTTTAAAACCATGTTTTAGGCCCTAGATGGTGTGGCTCAGTGGGTAGAGAGTCGGCCTATGGACTGGAAGGTCCCGGGTTCGATTCCAGCCAAGGGCACATGCCCGGGTTGTGGGCTCGATCCCCAGTAGGGGGCGTGCGGGAGGCAGCCGATCAATGACTCTCTCATCATTAATGTTTCTCTCTCTCTCCCTCTTCCTTCTTCTCCCTTCCTCTCTGAATCTCCTTTCCTCCCTCTCTTACATTCTCTCTAAAAAGCAATGGAAAAAAATATACTTGAGTATATTATACTCAGGCAGAGGGGGGTGTACGGAGGCCTGGGGGCCCAGGTGCTGCCCAGGGCCCAGAGGCC